TTGCGTTCAAATTTATTATTTGTTTTTTCATTTAATTTTTTTTACAAACCGGAAACAAAATTTTTGTATGAATTCTTTTTTGTCCATGTGTTTTTGATGGTTGAATCAATTTTTTTTTCATGATTTTTCCCTCAAAAAAACTTCCGAGTCTAGAACACTTGTAATTCAAAAAGTTTGCCATTTCAAAATGCTTGTTATTGCTTCACCAAATGAATTTTTTAGTAGCGTGATTTTGTTTGCTGACTTATTCGAGTTTCTTGTGTCGTTTAGTATATTCCATTTCTGTCGCTCAGTTGATTTAGGATTAAATAATTTCGATATGAAACTACAGTCTTTCAGATTGAATTTTGGTTTGTCATTACGAATGTAGACTGTTTTGAGTGGTGCGCATCTTTTCAAGCAGTTTACTATATTAGAATTAAGAATGTTGAACATTTTTTCAGTGTTAATTTGCCTGTAGAAAGACTCTCAATTAATGATTGTGAGGTCAGTTTTGAATGCTTTTTCTGAATATTTTGATCGATCGTAGATGATGTGCTCAAACGGCACAGTCTTATTAACTAATTTCAATTCAGATATCAAAATTGTAGCTAAATGATCTGTTATAATTGGTTGAGTGAAATTTGAAAACTTTGCTCATCAGTTCCGTTGAGTTTAAATCTGTGATAATATAGTCAATCAGTGTTTTTGAATGAGTTTGCGTCAATTTATTGACAACATCTAAGTTATGGGGCGTTAAAACTGTATCCAAGGATTCTTTTTCTTCAGTGTTCAAATAGTCAAGGTTGTAGTCGCCCATGAGAACAGTATTTGAATTATAGGATTGTGCAAAGTCAACTGACAGAGCAAGTTTATCAACAAACTCTGTTTTGTTAGATTTATTTGGATTATAGGAAAAATTTAATAGTGTTGATATTTCATTTTTGTCCTTTGATGTTTTAAATTCTAACCAGATGCTGTCATAATTTTGATGAAATAAATTTAGATATGTGCGTAGTTTAGGGTGTCAGATTTTAGGAAGAAGTATCATGACGCCCCTCCTTTTGTTATTTGCTTGCGAATGCTGATCTATCACATCGAAAGGAGACAAAATTATCACTATCTAGTGTCCACAATTTGTTATCATAAGAGTCATAAAACCATGTCTCAGAGAACCCATAAATTGTATTTAATCCACATCTTTTTGATCGAACTCCTACAGTTTAGGCGTAAAATTTTCATGTCGTTTTCGTAATTGTTTACTAATGTGTCATTAAATTGTACACTTGGAGCTAGTTTTGGGTTGATGTCGCCGCAGTATAAAATAAATTTGACAATATAATCAATAATAGGAGAAGTATCAACATTTAAAAAAAAAATTACTGATAAAAATGTTAAAGGTAAAGTGCACTGGAGACGCACTATAGTGATGTTAGTAGTGCGCTTGAGAGGACTAAGTCATGAAAAAATCATTAAAAAAACCGACTGTTTTCTAGCTTTGCCCTCTGTATTGTGACTGTTTTCTAGCTTTGACCTCTGTGTTGTCAGCTGTTTTCTAGCTTTGATCTTTGGGTTGTGACTGTTTTCTAGAATTGACCTCTGTCTGTCAAAGCTAGAATTTGGGTTACGGCCACAAAACAGGAGAGTAAAATATAAAAGTACAAATATAAAAACGTTACGGTCGGTTGGCTAACGACAGGGATGACGGTTGACTAACGAGAAACCCGGTCGGTTAACTAACGACAAACACTAGCGACCAACAAAGCAGAACAGATGCAAAAATGTAAGCATGCTACTGCTACATATAATGATAAAAAAGTGCTACCAATTGAGCATTTTATATGCAAATTAGGTTGAAAAAGTAGAATCATACGAATACACTACTCTCACAAGCTCCCTCGTGTGAAAAAAAAACAATCAAAATTAAACTAAAGTTCCCGGCAAGTAAGCTGAAAAAAATTCGGACGAAATCAATTAAGCCAAAAAAAAAATTCTTTCTTAAGATTACGTAGCCATGAACCAGTATTCCTCTAATCTGTAACTGGAGACCTTAAAATTGAAGATTCTGAGAACGGAGTTGTTTACGGGGAAAAGTTCTACCAGGCAGTTCAATTTTTTTTTCTAGGAATTGGATTTGAGACGTCTCTCTAGGAATTGGAAATGGAGTTGCTTCAATTCCGAGAACAGGAATTGGAATTGACTACAAACTCTTATCAGCTGGGACTTGAAATAAGTTTTTTGGTCTCTTCGACTGAGACGGTCCTGAAATAAAATTTTTTGGTCTATCCAACTTGAACGGTCTGAAATAAAGTTTTTTGGTCTATCCGACTGAGGCGGCTCTGATAGAAAAACGAAGACAGAAAAGAATATGCTTTTCAGAAAGAAATCATTATCAATTTTCAATCCAATTACCTGTCATTGTTGTAGACCATCAAGCGAACGAAAAGGTTTTTTTTGGAATTGGAATTTGAATTGAGATTTGAAATTGGGACTAGAATTCTGAGTCTAGCACCCGAGAAAATATGCAAGAAAATTTCTAGATTAATTTTGCAAGAAATTCAGTGAAGAAACCATTACTGTAGAACGAGAAATGTCATCAAGGCAGAACAATTGAGGGGTTAGGTTTATGATGACTTTAGTTGAGACAATAAGTGTATGTGGGTGTACAGAATTATTTATCAAATTAAACAACACAGATATATGAATAAAAGTTCTACGATTTACTTCAGAGTTACTACAGTTCTGAATTGTTTCGGCGATGATCACTGTCCTGGTCTGAATTTTGTTAGTAACAAGGTAGAAACTGCTGTTTTAAACCTTGTGGTTGCAGCCTGTTATCATTGTATCCAGCAACAATTCTTACTGTATTTAGGCGCTTTGCTTTGTATTGCAAAACAGTTTCGAACAGATCATGAAGCGTTGCATCGCTGTAGGAATGAATTGTTGATTGTACTAGAGCTGGTCTGATATATGTGGTACTTGAAGTCCCGATAACTAGTTTCTGGGAAAACTCAGAGATGCGTCTTGCCTGAAACGAAGACAACTGGGTTGAGAAGAGGCTCTTTGAGACACGGTGAGTCTTGAGGTGATTTATCAATACTTTCAATTAGTTTTTAAAATTTGTTTCTGACAAGAGCGATGTAAAAAAGAAAAAAGAGGAAAAAGGAGTGGTACAAACTGACGTCATTTTGGAGGTCGTTCCGCCATCTCACTCCTTGTTGCGTCTAGCATTTCTCAGCACTAGGGCTGGCCGCACTCTGAACTTCGGAAGCTGTTTTTCGATAATATATCCAAAGTTAACTATATTTCTAAATGTGTCATTGATTCGATTTTCAGCCTCGACCCCCAGCAGTCCTGGGTTACCAACCAAGCCTGCGCATATTCTACCAGGGATTCTCAGACGTCAACTACCGATACATACCTCAGGAGCTGTATACTAAGGTGTTGTGGCTCAAAAACAGAAGAAATGTTAGCGAAGGCAAAAACTTGTTTCATTAGTGCGATCAAATTATAATGCTTACTGAATCTTTTTGCATTTTTAGTAAAAATAAGCCATGCCATCCATCTTTGCTTAGTTTTTTCCGCGAACCCATCTGTTTGTTAACAAGTTTTTGAGCCTTGGTGGAGTACAATAGCGATTCTAAATTGGTTATTTCTCAATTTTTACCCTAGGTTTTCACACAGAATGAACTTCAATTAATGCGATCAGAACTTACCCTGAGCAGCCATGACTCTTTTTACATAAATTACATCAAATGTTCAAGTTAATTGAAAAAATTCAAGTTCAAAATTGGCTCCCCGGATTTTCGTGGACTTCGTTTTCCGGAGCTACTTCACATTTTGCTGAATCAAACCAAAACTATTATGCTTCAATTTATGTTTCATCCTCGTGCTTCAAACCAAAAAATTCATTTAGGATAGCTTTCGCACCTTCAGCTAAGCTACAACCAGAAGTAAATACAACATTCGCCGAAACATTACACAGTGACGGGGCGTAAGTATACCTATTGACGACTGGTTGATCTCGTTTACCCTAATCCTTCTCGTTTTTAACCGTCATGAACTAGCTAGTTATTATTCTCTTCTGTTATGGGCTAAATGATATGTTATTATTCTTCGGTCATCAGCCAAAAGACTTTCTATCAGGTTCGGTTTACATGCAATAATAACCATATTCGTCGAGCGAAAGATCGCCTTTGGATGTGTCCGGTAGTTTTACTTTTGCGCTTGATATTTTTCCAGTTTTCATTTGTTAGTTGCGCTTCATCGTATTCGATAAAGATTCATCGTTTTCTGACTTCGTTTTGAACAGTAGTAAGTGTGGAAATATCATTGCTGCATGCATTGCGAAGGTATTTTCAATGGTTTTCATAGTGATCACAGTTGTTGGTTGTGCCGCTGTAGTCTGGGCATGTGAAGCCTCAAAAACCTCGGCCTCGCAAGCTGTTTTTTCGAATTGCAAGTAGCCACTTAAGGAAGAACGGCGCGTCAAGTTAGCGACAAACACTTTAGATTAAATTTGCTGAAAATTAGTAAAGAAGTCATTATTGTAGAACAAAAAATGGATGCCATCACGTCAGAAAATTCGCGGGATCAGAGTAAATTGTTGATTTTCACTAGAGCTGATGAGATATTTTTGGTCCTTGAGGTCTCGATAACAAGTTACTGTAAAAACTTAGGGATGCGTCTTGCCTTGAATTGCGGCATCTACCTGAAGCGCAGAGACCTGGGACGAGAAAGGATGCTCTTTGAGACACGGTGAGTCTTGAGGTGATTTATCAATACTTTCAATTAGTATTTAAAATTTTTTAGAATTAAAATTTACAAGAGTAAGGATTGGTACAAGTTGACGTCATTTTGGTGGCCGTTCCACCAGCTCACTTCTTTTTGCTTCTAGTTACGCCAGAGAAACTTTACTCGCCTACGGCTTGAACAGCGAGACTTGGTAATAAAAGTCAATGAGGAAAGCCTAGCGCATTTAATATAAAAATCCACTTGAATTAAGTTTGAACAGATACACTATTTAATAAGTTTATCATAACAATTAGGTTAATAGACATTCTCAACAACCTACTAACCATTCATCTGTTATGGCACCTTTCGAGAGACAAGTACCCAGGCAGCACAAAAAGTAGTCCCGATTCGAGAGCTCCAGCCAAAAAATAAGCGGTTTGAGTAGTTTTTTATATGCTTACGCTCAGAGACTTGCTTTAGAATGCGCCTATTGAGAGGTTTTAATGGATTTTTAAAAAATGTTGAACAGTTTTTTTGCTTTGTTTTTTTTTTAAATTAACCTATAACAGGCAGGTTAGATTCAAATAATCTATAATAATCTATAGGCCGAACAGTCATAGTTATAGTCGAAATTATAGTCAGTGTTCCCTTCATCTCATTATCCAGTCAAAATTGAAGAAAACTTCTAGACATCAAAGAGAAAAGTTAAATGTGGATAAAAGACAGATGATTGGGGATCAAGCCAACCAGATTGAGAAAAATAGCACCTGCACAGAACAAATCGAAATTGCAAGTGACTCAACAAAACTGACCTGATAGCGGCTACGGGTCTTTCACATACATTTATAAAGCTGCGCTTTTTTTCCCTTGGCTCTATAAGTAAAAAATTTCTCGCAATTAATTTTAACGTTAGTTAGGCCGAGTACACAGGCAGCAAACGCAACCTGTTTGGTGAGGGAGATTCTCTGCTTAAGGAAACTACCTGGCCTCGATTCCTTGAAGCATGTGCTTAAGATTTTTCAGAGCTGACTAGGAGGGCTGGCCGCTCCCTGAATTTGGGAAGCTGTTGTTCGATCATATCAAAAATTAATTAGATTTCTAAATGTGTCTATGCTGCAGTTTTCAGTCTCAACCCCTGGCGTTCCAGAGTTACAGACCAGGCCTGCGCTTTTTCTACCAGGGGCTCTCAGACGATACATCCCTAATTAGCTGTATACTAAGGTGCTTTGGCTCCAAAACAGAAGGAATTTGAGTGAAGGCAAAATTGGTATGCCTACTGAACCTTTATGCGGTTTTCAGACAAGTCACGTCATCCATATTTGTTTTTTTTTACAAAATTTTGAGCTTTGACGGAGTACAATAACGATTCTAATTTGCTGATTTGTCAGTTTAAATGTTAGGTTTTTACACAGAATAAATTTCAACTATTGCGATCCAAATTTATTCTGAGCGGCCTTGACATTTTTACCAAGGTAAAATCAAATTTCGTAATCATTTCAAAACCTCATGTTCAAAACTGGCTCCACCCATTTTTTTGGACTTCGTTTTCCGGAATTACTTCACATTTTAATGAATTAAACAAAGTTATATTGCATCAATTTATATTTAATCCTCGTGTTTCAAACCTAATTTTTCACTTAAAATAGCTTTCGCTTCTTCTGCTAAGGCCAAAAAGTGGGTAAATGTAACATTCTCCCAGACATCACACAGTGACAGAGCGTAAAAAGTACCTATTGACGACTGGCTGAACTCAGTTACCTTAATCCTACTCGTTTTTAACCGTCTTGACTTAGCCAGTTATTTTTCTGGTCTGTTATGGGCTAAGTAATTTAATACCATTCTTAGGACATCAGTCAAAAACTTTTCGTTCAGGTCCCGTTTACATGCGAAAATAACCCCCTTGCTGGTTCTCACATCCGCCGACAACGTGAGTAATTTCAAAAACACGGTTAGAAAACAACAATCAAATATGTTTTCACTGACAATTATACACAAAATCCAATTGAGATGGATTGATTCTTTCCTCTAACTGCGCATGCTCTGAAAAACTAAGTTAAAATTGGAGTAAATTAAATGCGTTCAGGGCTTTACAGCAGCTGTAATATATCGTTAAGTTTTTCTAACAGTCTGTGGGCCTTGGGCCTTCCATTCTGCACTCTCCTGGAGATAACATCAATATCTCTCCAATTTTGTTGTGCGGGAGGGTTCTTATCAGTCTTGAATGTCCCACTGGACCTTCCTTCTGCAATACCTTCTGTTGATAAACAATTTGACGTATCCTCGTGTTACGACAAAAAAACTCCGCTGATCTTCTATCTTTTTCTCTTTTTATCGACTATTTTCCGCCATGCAACCAGCTGTTCCTATTAATTGTAGATTTTTGGTTGAAATAGGTGTTTTTGGTTTTTCTCAGAATTATTCCAGTCCAAAACAGAATTTTGAAAATTTCAAAATATAGATTTTTTTGAGCTTCCTTTTCATCGTAACTATGATCAAACCGCCTTTAAGGTTGGAAACGCCTTTAAGCCGTAAGTCGGAAGGTTCGACTGTGCCAGTTCGGGGGATTGGTAAAAAAGGAGGTGAGCGAAAAAACACTCAAGCCAGCTTTGGCTGCTGGGAGAAATTTTCAAATATTGGCTATCGTTCATTTTTTCTTATTTGTTAACTTCCATGAAGAATTTCTACTCCGCAAAAAAAACAAGAACTTGTACACAAATAATATAGGAGTTTTGGCATGCTAAGCCAATTTTTAGGAGGTAAAAACTATCATATGCATCCAGCTTATCAAAAACCCGCGAAACTTTTTCCAGCGCAGCTAATGTTTTAATTTACAAGTCCTTTGCGACCAAATGCGCCTATAGGTGAGCCCAGGATTTTAAATTTATCCTTGACTTTTTGAAATTGACCTTTTATTTTTTTGTAATGCTTACTTGTGGTCTGTCATAGAAAACATAGCTCACTTTTGTCTCTGTTTAGGCTCAAACCATAGCTTTTTTTCTGATTTGAGTAAATTTTTAAGATCTCTGAGCTCTATCTTGTATTTGTCGGCTAGGTTTCTATCATTTAAAAACCAAACGTGTGTTTTGGACTCAGGCGCTTTTGCTAGCGTATGTAAAAGGATGGAGCTTCACGGTATAAAGATGCAAATTCCGTAAAAGTGGTAACTCGGTTTACGGTAGGCGCATGAAATATAACTCCGGTTGAATAGAAACTGCTGTATGCAATACAAAAATCTAATTTAAGTATCATTGAGCAGTTCGGGTTTTCATCACGCTCAATTAGTTTTCTAAAGGTGTGTGCAACTAATCCAGCTCCTTGTTTAGAATCACATCCTACTTGAAATCTCTAGAAAAGATTTTTGTCGTTTTCTTGTTTCCTGCACCTTTAGACGCAATGGGTCTAAGCTTACTGCCGATTGCAATCTGTCCCAAGCCTCCAAATATTTTATGAGGTGTTTAATTGTGCTCCAAAAATAAAAGTCGCAGCTGTTCGGGTACTTTATCTTCACCTTTTTGAGCCGCTCATTGCTGTTTGATTTACTAATATGGTCTTTGAAAAAACTTAAAGAACAATCTTGTCCGGACCGGCTCCCGGACCATTTGGAAAAAAAACATAATTATCCTGTATACCTAAAACTCAGTTACGAAAAACTGATTGACGCTGTCCGAGTTTGGGTCTTTTACATCAGCTTCTTTTGTGTGTTTTGCTACCAAAAGTCATAGTTAAGTGTCGAAAAAGTTGCGACCTTGTCATCTGAAGCGGCCAGCCTTATTCCTCCTTTTATATATCCCTCGTCGAGCTTGCTGCTGATTAGTTTTAGTCTCTGCTCGAGATCTGTCGGGGCGGGCTCGACCAATCGGCACACACATCAACATATCTCATCGGCTTAACAATTTTATCAAAAAATTTAGGCTAACCAACCAATAAGACAAACGAACAAATTGTTTTGAAAAAAGAGGAACCGCAATGAGCCTTGATGACTGTTTTTTGGACCTAGAACAATATAAAATGGTTCATGACTTTCTTTCTGTTTTTAGGGCAGGTTCGAAGCTCATTTTTAAACAAAACTGATAGTGTGTACCCTGCAACGATCATATCGGGAGAAAATTTTGTAGCTTTTTTTAAGGAAACTGATCGAGATTTGGGCAGTCGTGGTTCATTAAATCTTTTCTTGAGCAGTTCGAGTCCAATCGTTTGAATAACCGCTCAAATCGTGACCGAAATTTGAGTGGGATCTCGACTAGGGCTGCTAACAGCAAAAATGAAATTTCTGCTCTTTTCCTTCTCCAGTCCTAAACTTCAGGTTTTCTGTTATAATTATGTTATTTGTTATTGTGGCTAAATACATAATAATGCGATCTAGATTTGGAATAAATTAACTGTCAAATAGGTTGGTCTTCGTTTGAGTTTTTTTTGTTTTGTGTTTTAGATTAAAAAGGATCGGTTTTTTTTCTTAGTCATACACTAATTTTGTTTAGCCTACGCATTCTTGTAGTGTTTGTTGGTACGAGAGCCAAAAGACAAAAGTATTTATGACTTCTCTTGAGCCGATCGACCTGAATGCCATTAAACATTTTCGGAAGAAAATACTCGCACGATACGTTCAAAATGACAATTAATGTCCTTATCAGCAAAAAGAACCAGAAAAGGAAGGCTAATTTTTAAGTGTTGCAACTATTTTGAAAACTTTGATACGGATATGCGTCACACGTAACAATTTTGTTTCCGCGAAAACTGAAATCTCGAAAATCAGAACTACAATTTTTGCGTAATAAAACACACAAGAGAGATAGAAAACGGCAGCAAATACATTGAGAATATCAACTGACATTAGTAGAAAAGAAGACCTCCTTGTCACAATTGTACAGACACTTATGTAAAAGTTCAAGTTTTAGACCGCAAAAGGCGATCCACAAGGACGTCGATGAATAGTTTTGTAGAGGATTGGGGGTAAAACTTACTAAAACAAGAGATTTATAGTAAAAAAATTTTGAAAAAAATTGAAAGACAATTAGGAGATTTAGAGGCAGATTTAGAGAAGAGGAGGAGAAGAGCCTTTTTTTAGCTTGCCGAGCGAGTTTTCAAGCAGCATAGGAATAATTGATAATTATTTTTGAATGACGGTTAGGTCATGGGCAAAAGCCATCAATGCGGCTTTTAAAAAATAAATCGATTTTACAACGACTTCAGAAGAGAGTACAAGACCGAAGATTTTCACCAATGATACGTATTGGAACAACCCTTAATGACATCGACCTTGATATGGAACTCGGCTATATATTAAAATGTTCCAAGAAACGTCAC